GTGTGTGTGTGTGTGTGTGTGTGTGTGTGTGTCTCTGTCTCTCTCTCTCTCTCTTCCAGTATTAGCTGTTGGTCAGAAGCAAACATCTGACACTCCCTGTTTGATCGTTATGCAAAAGATTAAGATACAGAATCTCAGTGGTGGAATCCTCTGTGGGTTTATTTAGTCCAGACTCCCATGAGGAGAATACTAAACAAACCAATTAATAAAGAGTCACAATGTTTCATGCAGAAGCTTCACAAAAACCCCAAATTCAACTGCCAAACCTTTCTCCTTTATCCTTTCAACTGTTCATACACACCACAGACTGTGGAAGGTAATACACAATCAGTGGTCACTTTATTAGATACAGCAGTGCAATCTAATGCCAATAGCCCTGAAATAACTTTTGTGACATTATCTGAATTCTGTAAATTAACCTAAATATTTTTTTATTTAGTTCATATCCGTGTTGTAAGGGACAACATTGTTTTGTGATGTGTTTCTTTGTCCCTCACATGTACATATGTAAGTGAGGCTGGATATTATTACAGATATCCTCTTTTTATAACATAGTACCTCAAAGCACAAGTGTAAAATTGAAAAAAACTGTGCATTTTCAAATGGTAAAAACTAAATCTGAATTTAGTGTATTTAGAATATTGTGGTGTGTCGCCACAAATAAATCAACATATGGGAATCACCAGGAAGTGTCAAAAATATTTTTATTTCATTATAAATTTGTCGTCAGGAGATGTCAACTGAGTTGTCTTTTTTGTATGTTTTGCACAACCTGCATATGTGTGGCTCAGACCATGTCTGAATGTTGTTTGAGAGATTGGATCTCAAATGTGTTCTCAATGTGTCTCGGATGCTCCGAGATATTCACTTGTGATAGATCATTGTGTGTTAATGCTAGAAATTAACAGGGCCTGTTTGTTGAGTTTTTTTTCTGTGTGACAAATGGCATGAATTCAGATTGATACACAATTCATGCTGATAGCCAAAGAGTTTGTGCAGCAATTAAAAGGCTGTGTTTTTAACATATTGTTTTAGTTGTTAAATAACTCACGCAAGATTTTAAAAGGGACGAGTAGCACATACACACAGAGACCACACTGATGTAATGCTACTGCTTGATAGGATTGAGATGCAGAACCAACATTGACTTTTGTGTTTGGATCAGTTTCCCCAAGTAATGTGATCAGAACGCTGGGCTAGTTAACTCTGTATTGATCACTACAAATCTGAAACTGATATTGACCACTGCCCTCAGGTTTACTTTACTACCCTGCCTCAGATCAGTAACTAACCAGCCTCCTTCTCTCTTTTCCCCCTCCTCCTCTCACTACCTATAGCTCAGACAGACTGATGGATGACACAATAAGGTAAGACCTGCCTTGTCCTGCACATATTGGAAGATATATATATATTTGCATGTGACAGCCCTCAACCCTTCCTCATTGTCTATTCTACCTGCTGAACTCGACTCAAAACATTCAGTGTACATCCTCATGGAGCTAACATGGCCTAGATATCTGGATTGAAGGATTTGACACCTGTTAAAAAATTGCCATTTTATGTCATCCTTCAATAGCCATTATAAATGAATAGGAAAAACAGGAATTTTCTAAATTAAAAATACTTTTTTTTTTTTCTCTTCTTTTCCTGGATAATTCAATCCTAGTATTGTGTTTATGTTTTCTTCCATTATTATAAATATTTCAAATTCATTTCAGAGAAATTATCTCTTTGCGTCAGTTTGCTATAATAACATCTGTAATCTAACTGTGTCCTTGAGGCTCAGCCCCCGCTGATAAAGAAATGACAAACTAGTCAGCCAGCACTACTGATCAAACAAACTGAAAATGATTTCCTGTTGCAGTCAGGACAGTATATATAACCACTGAATTATTTTAGAATCAATCCAGAATCTGAAATATTATCCAACCTTTATATTCATCCTATTATCATCAAACATTATATGTCTGTCACTGGCTTCCTTCTCTGGAGTTATAATTGGGGTTTTTAATGTGTCTTGTTTTGGACCTTGAATTTTATCGCTTCACTTGTCAATGCCATCGCTCATTCTGTGAACTGATGATTCAACTACCCGAGTTTCATTCACATCAAAAGCTTGTAACTGCGCCAACTGCTGGTCACTTAATTGAATCTGTGCATCAAATGAACAGGACTCGCTCGACCCTGGATGACACAGTACTTCTTTTCACCTTATTGATGCTGCTTTCATGTTTAACGTCCTTCGTTTGAGATTGTTACCTCCTCCATCCCCCCATCAATTCCCTTTTACATTTTCAGCCCCTATAAAAACAATGGTACCCTGAGGACTGTCTTGAGCAGCCATCTGATGCTACTATACCGAATAACTTTTCTAAAATGTACTTTACTCTATTTAGATTGATTATACAAACAAGCTATGCAAATTGTCTGTCTCATTACTCTGATGGGGGTTTTTTAGCTGTGATTTTTCTCTTAAATGTATCTGTAAAAAGTCTAAAAATGACATAAAAGTCTTGACTACATTAAAATACATGTTAAATAGGTATGCTCTAAAATAATTTGTATTTTTAAGAGAAATGTTTTGGCAGCATGCATCGATTATACTATCTCCATGTGTTGTGGTTCTGTCTCAACAATACCAATATTAGCTTAAACAAGATCAACACTGAACCGCTACACTTGGCTAAAACTATGGATAGCCTGTAATTTGTTAGATAACATGGTGTTTTCACGGTTTAGGTTACTTCACCTGCTATTCAATTATGTGGGGAGTGTGAATAATTCTGGGACTGTGATATTCCTTCACATTTTTTGTACTTGACAAAGGTATTCATTTCATTTGTTAGGGTCTTATATGGGTCTTTAAAAGTTCTAAATTTAACTTTTTGAAACTGGCAGAAACCCTGTAATTTGTGATTTTTAGATTTAAATGATAATTACAAACTGACTTCACTCAACAGGCTCTTTGACAACTTGAGCCTTCTTCTCCAGTTCATTTTTAAGCAGCGATCAGTGACTTATCACTTATAACTGTGTGAAGTGAATCTCTATTCTCCAGCTCTGATTCTCGTGAGCTGGTTCACACTGAGATAAAGGCTCTTCCAGGTTGTTGGAGTCAGCAGAGCCTTTCTTCCTGACTGAGGAGAACATGATCCCCAAAAGACTGATCCAGGCCAAGACTGCGGATTGTCCCCTCAGCAACCTCCACCCGCAGGAGATGCCATTACCTCACTCGCTCAACCCACCCTCCACACACTCACACTTACACACTGCAGATTCTGACATCCACCGAGTGCACACATACACACACAACCCAGAAACCAGTTTGTTACTGATTGGAGGAGCTGTCCCCAATTGACTGGTTTTAATTCTGTAATTTGGTCCCAAAAAAAAAAATTTGACAGAAAAACCACACATCATCACTGGTCTTTTTGGGGGACTTTTCATAGACTGGTATTTATTTCCTGAAAAGTTTACTCAAAACATACCCACCACTGATCTTTAACCCAACTTTAACCAATGACCCAAAAATCAGGGACTTGGCCCCAATTGGACAAACAGTCCCCAGTTAACTCGTCTTTAGTTAGTTATGTCCCTAAGGTAGCCCATTAAACACACACTCGACTGTTGCTCATCAACTTCATCATCCAGAAGAGTGAACACCCCGAAGTGTTTTCATTTACTTGTTTTGATCTGCCTCCTGTGGGGCTCTGTCACTCCGGGATGGGAGGAGTTTGTCCCCTGTGGTTGTCACCCTGCTGTTCAGGTGTTACATAATCCTGTGTGCAGCGAAGAAAACATCTGTTACATCAACTGTTTGTTGAGCATCAATATTTTGTGGATGTATAGGAGATTGTCCAGTGTCCTTACCATAGATACAGATTCATGTGTTAAAAGATTCATAAATATATTAGAATTCATCTTTAGAACTACTTCTAATTTCAGTATACATCTTGGCAACAGTTGTTTAAAGAAATAAATCTCAATAAGCTATCAAGATGTTGTTTGTATTACGTGTTAACGTTAGATTATTGTTATCACCTGATACATCTAACTGTAAATCATGATTTAAAGCCTCAGATGTTCTAGATAGATACATGTAGATCAGATGGATGTGGAATGGTTGTTGGATTGAATTTCCCTCAAGTCAAATACCCTGATCCCTCTGTCGAAGTGATGGGCTCAAAAGTGGGCTCAATAACTCCTATTGATTATTTAGTGTAATAGATACCACAGAGCCTTAAACTTTTCCTGCCAACTGCCCGGTTGAACTTTCCTGCTCTAAAAGTTGCTGAGGCCCCAGTTAGAGATGATGGTACAATATCACAGCAATTCTTTACCTTTTACACCTGTGCACATAAAGCTGCAGGAGTACATGATGATTCCCATACACAAAGCAAGTAGTCTTTCAGTACCCATTTTAATCAGTACAGGAGGATTATAAGGTCACAAGAGAACCAAGTGTCTGCAAAGGGTCTGAAATTATTTCCCGAAGTCAATGTGATTTTTCAGTATGCCTAAATGTCTTAATTTCTGTTTTCACTGTAGTTATGGGGTATTTCATTTCGATGGATGAGGGGAAATTATGTTCTTTTGTTTTAGCACAAGGCTGCAACATATGAAAAATGAATATTGTCCAAAAGCACTGATTATTTGAAGTGACTCTGTGTCCTCAGTGACAGTTTAACGCACATCTGACCCTTTGAACTGATGCTCATTTCTCCTGTAACATCCCCTGGTGTAATTAAATTTCCATTAAGTTGTTGGCTCATTTGCAACCAAAGGTACTTTACGGTACTATTGACTATTAGGATTGTCACCTCTCAACTCGTTTCATTCTGTCTTTTTTAGTATTGCCATGGCGACCAAGGAGAACATGACCTCCCAAAGGGGGATGCTGAAATCCATTCAAAGCAGGGTCAACACATTGGCCAGTATCCTTCATGATGCTTAGAGTGTGTGCATGTTGTGGGGAACCAACTTGAAGAAAGCATGCACCAGATTGAGATCTATATGAAACCATAGACTGTATATAAAGACGTCTTCACTTTCTCCTACTACCCAGAAATGAAGCCAAAATATGAGAGCTGCCATCTTGTGCTGATGACTTCTTAACAGGTTCTACCTAAAATGACAGAAATCATCTTGTAAGAAAAATGTATTTGAAATGTGTTATAACTTTAATTTTGCCCATCTTACATCCACTGACATGGAGGAGGTGGGTTTATGGCGTATCCTGCAGCCAGCCACCAGGGGGCCATCAAGATGCTTTGGCTTGGTTTTTGGGGAGCTGTCATGTGTTCCGTTTTTATAAACAGTTTATGATGAACAGCATTCTTTGTTCTAAGATGTCGTGCTACTCTTGTTTATCAAATCAGTGTCCACTTTGTAAAAGGTGTCTATGTTCTGTGTATTCTAATTCCAAATTCATATTAAGTAGAAATATACATTTTCATCATCTTCCTTAACTTTTGACTCTCCCAGACCGTTTCCCCACCATTAACAACCTCATCCAGCGAATCAACCTGCGGAAGAGACGGGACTCCCTCATCCTCGGCTCAGTGATCGGCCTCTGCACCATTCTCCTTCTCCTCTACGCTTTTCACTGAAAGCTGGGGCCAGTGAAATCTTTGAGGAAGCAGGACCGATAGGCTCTTTATAGCGTGGGACCCCGCGGAGCAGAAAGACACTCTCTAGGTCCAGGTCTGGGACAGGAACAGATCTGACCAGCATGAACTACTGAACTTGTATTTAGCAGTGGGACAGATGTGGGGGCTGGTGGTTGGGATGCTCTTCTGCCAACAAGAACGGGAACAGGAACGGCGACCAAATATACAGACGAGACTAGATTATGAAGAATTTTATTGATAAGTCACTTGGAGAGAGAGTCTGTGGCATTGAAAGCGTGAAGAGACTGTGTGTGATGCATAATTCTTTTTCACTGGTGGAAGGAATTTTAGTTGATCGATCGTTTTTAATTGATGGAGTGGGATTGATAGTTCACTGTGGGCTGTAAAATGTGAATTAATAAATTATTCATATCATTATGTGCAAGTATAGTGTGTGACACTAATACATATAAATCATTTAATTTTTCAAAATATATCATTTGAAATGTGAATCGAGCCTCTCATTCTTGAGTCAGATAAACTGTGACGAGGGCACAGCAGCTCTCTACTACATTTTAATTTTTGAAAAACATTCTGAAGCCTTATTCTGTTTATTTCAGTGGTTTGGGAGAGGACAGGGTTAAACTCTAGGTTAAAGTCTGACTATTGGTATATTGTGTAGAAATGTGAAATCCAGGCAGCTGTGTGAGAACCATCAATGTGTTTTTGTCTCACTTGAATCCACTGAAGAGGATAAATTTGGTCTCTTGTCCTCATTCCCTCTGTTTGATGCTTTGCTCACAAATGAAACCACTTAATTAATCTGACATTGTTAAAGGAGTTCTTTTTCTGTTTCACAGCACTTTCAGTTTCCCAGAATATCTCACTTGCTTCAGGAGGAAACCCCTGTGTGTGCTGAGGACTACATTTGTTTCAGACATGTCTGTAGACAGCAGAGGTGCTGATACATTCAGCTCCTGAATATTTCAGCTGCTCAAACTGAACAGCACCGAAGCAGAACTAAGCACCCGGTCCTCTCACTTTGAAAGGTCGAGTCGAGTCTGGTTATTCTGAGACAAGACGGTCTGGTGCTTTGTGTCTGTGAAGAAAATCAGACGGCTATTTAAAGCCCTGTTTTTTTCAAGTGAACAGCAGGGATGATGTCTGATGACAGCCTCTATCACTTCCCCCTGAAATCACATAAAAGTTGTAAACTGTGTCCCAATTCGATGAACACAGTCTACGCTGCCCACGAAGTAGGCGGTCGTTGTGGGCTGCTTGGGCTGCAAAGGCCTCACTCAATTGAGACACTGGTTTACACGTGATTTCCGTGATCAGCGTCGCCAGCGTTGAAAGTTTTCATGCCCCTTGTTTTGTTTGTTTTTTAAAGTGTATCGTAGCTGTTCGGTTGACACTCAAGCATCGGACGTCTCCTTGCTGGCTGGCACCATTACCTCTTTGAAAAACAGTTTATAACCAAAGCAGTCAGAGACTTTACCTTTAATAGTTTGTACTAAGGTTCCCTCACACAGCCATGTTTTCAGAGCTGCATCAGGCCACTACACTCTGTGGTGTGTGTGAAAGGAGGGGGCTGTAAAAGAATCTGACATGAATTCTTCATTGAATTAATTTTTTCCTCGCCCATCTGTACCTGTGGCGGCCCTGATCAATGATGTGTCTGTGCTCAGAGGCACAATTGTGTATCAGGACTTGCTGTTTATACAGCTACATCCTGGGTTTAGATAATAAAAGCAACAGCTCTATGTCATCATTGTGCAATCCACTGCAGCCTTAACGTGGAGCAAAATCGGTACCTTTCATTCAGTCTTAATAAAAGAAGTTAAATCTACAAATGTATTCCTAGAATCACATCTTACAGCTGTGTTTGTGTCTATTCCCTCAATATGTGTAAGGTAAGTGTTGGAAATTGCACTTTTGATGTTTCTGCCTCTTTTGGATCATCACCATGGTCAATTATCACCCACAGTCTGCATGATTTATTTATGATTTTCTTTTTCAGGTGTTTAAAAAGAGGCCTCACCATCAGGCGAACCTTAACCCACACGTGACTCTGACAGTATGTTATTCAAATCCATCATTTTGGTCCAGACTGAAAGATCTTAACAACTATCAGATGGATGGCCTTGAAATTTTGTTCATGCATGATCCACAGTGGACTGAAGCCTTCCGTCTGTGGTGATGCCTCAAGTTTACCTCTCGTGCCAGCTGCCAGAAATATAAAACCATAGGCTATATAAATGGGGATGATACTCTCTGCTTCCTCTCACTATCCAGAATTAAAAAGCTAAAGTGTCCTTGAAATGGACACTGCCATCCTACACATCTGGAGAGTCTGTGAAGTAGTGATCGGGAGATGGAACAGCAGGTCCCACCGATACACAACCAGTCATGAGTCAGTCACAGCTGTTGCTTCATTTAGCATCACATAACTAATCAAAACCAAACTTGCAGGAACAATTAACGCAATGTGACACGAACTACCTAACATGAATAAGGTGTTTGACTTTTTAGGTTGGTTCATGTTTCGTCCACTAACATGGAGGAGGTGGGGCGCTGTCACTCTTGGGAAGACGTCACGTCATTCTGGGATTTCAACTACTATCAATCGGATTGCCATTTTTTTTCCTGTAGCATCACCTGCGTCCCCTACCTATCAGGTAAAAATGTAACACCTGCAGGACTTGACATTCCCCTCATCCTCAGCTGTATGTTGTATTCAGATCTAAATGGACAATGTTAAACTTAGATGACATAGCAAAATTTTAATATTTATTATCATTATTAATTTCAAATCACCGCTGTGTGTTGTTGTCGACTTCGAGCATCTAACACGGCTGCAACTCCTCTAAACTAAGTTCTGCATATTTCCGTCCTCCTCATAAACAGTATTGTCAAGAGGCAACACTTGGGCCATGCATGGTAACATTTATTCCAGACATGCAAAATGTACACTACAGAGATGAAAGCTGGCACATACAGTACACTGCAAAAGAAACACAGTCGTATTCAAAATGAGATGTACGTTTTGAACTGTTTTACTGACAGAGCAGTGCTTATAGGCTATGGACAGTTGACTCCTGACCACCAGTGTCACAGATGGACAATTTGAATATTGACACTACCACATGTGGCGTGATCTCCAGTGATGACAGATATGTTGTCATTTGGTAGCAATGTAATGTGACGTTTTCTTTTTTTTTCTTGCATTTTTCGTAAACATGAGGAATCTTTGGATTTTGCTGCTTTCAGATGTTTGGACACAGAATGTAATTATTTTATGTACAACTATGAATTGGAATGGACATTTGATATACTGTAAACCCATTTTGCACAAAACATTGTGCTATATTGAGTTAATACTTGTTGGAGTTGTTCAGCTTTGATGTTAATGATGTTTAGATTCAGAATCACTTTAGCTGCATAGTCTGACAAATTTCATTTCCCATCTGTCCTTAATTAGCTGGTGTTTTTCTCTTGCGTCACTTGTACGAGCCCTTAAAGAAAGAACAACTGGAACTCAACACATGGTCATCACGTCACATTAAAGGGACTCAGTCCAAATGATTCCTGATTTAGATTTTACACATGTAAGAAAAAAAAACAAGCATTAATTCCCCGAAAAGAGCTGTGGCTTTAACTGCACTACGTGATCTTACACAGTGACGTTACCTGTGCTTGCAGCATTAGCCTGTGATGAGTCAATACAACAGTCCTGTGTGTCCACTAGGGGGCGTAACACAGCGATGTCTCTGATAAAATTGACGATTACAGGCGATCTGTCGTGCTTCAATTTTTTAAAGAGAGTTTCTTTAAATGCTTTTTGTTACTTGGGCAAACTCAGACTTGCTCATTTACAAAAAATAAATGTGTGAGCCGGTTTGGCCCGTAGCATGCGTACATATTGCATATATATTTTCCCATATAAATACATTGCATACCAATACAAGGAGCAGAGAGAAAGACATTCAGTGAAACATTGGTATTTAACAGTCAATGTATAACAATGTAAGAATGGGAATTGGGAGCGATGTGTGTGGAAGGGTAGAAAAAGAGTTTGAGAGGATAAAGGAGAAGAGACAGAACTAAAGCAGCCACTTAGGTTTGAAGGTGAAGAATGGGGGCGTGAGACAGAAAAAGAAGGAATTAAAAGATGGTGGGAGGTTCGGCATCTGTTTCTGTCTCTGCCGGAGCAAGGCAAGGTTCAGGAGGAGAAGTTCAGAGGGTTGGAATATGTATTCTACAGTGGCTGGACTCACAATGTACACAAATAACTCCTCCATGTGCAAACCTGTCAGCCTCCCTGACTCCTTCATAATGACAGAGACGACTAACAACAGTCAAAACGAAGGCAGAAGATTGGTTATCTACATTCAGGCATGCAGTTGGTCTCATTTGTTTAAGTTAAAAAAAAAAAATTATAATAAATATAAAAAAATGTGTTCCCTGTCCCCTTTAATTAATCGACCCCTTGAGTTTCCACTGATAATCCAAGTACCAACGAAGCAGCCATTGCGACAGTCTTAAACCCAGCACCACTTGGCATACAAACATTTTTATAAAATGTACATCTTTATTTATATATATATATATGTTCATATATCCCATATTTCAAATATTTGTAGCTTTATATGCTTTGAATGCAAGAGGTTCAGTAAGGAATATATGGGGATAAATGCAGCTGTCCAAAGTCTGACGTCCAAAACCAGAGTCTGTTTTCCAAAGGAGCCCCATCCTGCACGTAGAAAAAGTCTTCATTCACTCTCTCCTCATACGCAAATCATCTGCTTCATTTCAAGAAGTCCATTATTCCAAAAATGAAACTTTTATTCTTGTAACCACAATTTCATCTGCATTTTCTCCCCTTCTGTTTTCTAACCTGAACTTTTTAACATCAGGTTTTAGGTTATTTTTGTCAAGCAAATGTTACTGAATTCTTAAGCATGCATCTCTGAGTGATTGTTTTATTAAAATTTGTTTACTTGCTGCGATACCTAATGACGCCTGTTGTGTGTTTTTTTTCACTTTCTGAGGGCGGTCTTGATGTAATAATAATATAGCATAATGTTAGGAATGGTTTTTTTTTTTCTTGTTGCATCCGTGGTTTGGTTTTCACGGTTTCACGGGTTCCTCTCTCCCTCAGGTTCTCCATGTCATTGGGTCGCTGTAAGACAGAGACGAGCAGAGAGATGGCGCTGTCATAAAAAGTCATGTTGGACAAAAAAAGACAAATTAAATTCACCCTTGAGCTCATGTTTTGACTGGTGAAGGTCTGGTGTCGAGGCTGTGAGCCGTCGGAGCTGCCCTTGCTGCACAGTCAGCCCATTCACAACAGTTGGTGCAGTGCTAAATCAGTATACACATACTCTAACACACACATGGAAATATGCTGAGTTTGGACATAGAAATACACACATCTCATTCTTGTGCTGCAGTGTCATATATCACGTTGTAATCGTAATGCAGGAAGTATACTCCGTTGTTGAACACTTGT